CTTTCTCCCCAGCTTTCATAACATTTCACTACTTTTACAACTGTGAAAGTACAGAACTGTTTGGAACATAAAATCATGTGACTTGTTTAAAATGTCTGAAAACATCACATAATCTTAATAACGTGCCCATATGACACTTAATAACCAGGAATGCAACATAAACTTTCTTAATAGCATTGTGGATGGAACATGTTTATAAGCAGCGATTTTGGTGTATTAAACTTCAACCCTTCATTCATATAAAAACATTTCATAAACTACCGGTCACAGCACGCATACTCACGCACGACTTCTTGTGAGATTGATGACTGGATAAAATGCTTTTAAAGACTATAAATAAAAAACTATAACCAGAAAATATGTAGTCTAGAAAAAGAAAGATTTTACAGAGTTCTCATAACCCACAATGTCAACCTGAGGGAGAGTAAATGGCCGTTTAATCATAACCTGAAGACTGGGACACTTACTGGCAGAGTCAGTAAACACAGCCAATGAGGGTCATTGGGAACATCCTGAGAATGCTTTCAGAACGTTGTCCTAATGTTGCCACTATATTTTCCGGTTCCTATAATTAGTAATGTAATCCCCCCCTCCAGATTATCATGAAATAATCTGATCTCCTCCATAGCGGTGGGGTGTCGCTGTGTGGATTAAGCCTCTCAACTGTAATTGGAAGGATGTTGGTTCTAACAAGGTGCCCCTGGGTACAAATCATACCCATTAACATATTAACAATGAGCCCTTGAACATGGTCCATCCATCCATCCATCCATCCATTTTCTGTACCCGCTTCTCCCATGCTGGGTCACAGGGGTCCATTGCATATTCCTGGAAGCTATGGGCACAATGCAGAGAATAACCCAGGATGGGGCACCAACCCCCTTGTACCAGGCCTATAACCCAAGCTGTCCCAGGACTGGATATCCCCGATCTCTGATCCTCATTCGTATGTCAGTTTAGGCTAAAACATCTGATGTGATATGTCCTCGATCATGCCGCTGAGACTGTCAGTCACGCTCCTGTACACGAGGCACTATCTGCTGTACCACTGAGGGACATGATCGACCCCTGTGGACACACTTCGAGTCTCTTCAGGCTTGTTGGGCACTTGCTGCATTCTGTGCAACATCTTCAGCCTTGTTACTATTGGTGTGGCTCCATGGCTGATGGATCAAACGTTTGGAGAACTGGAGCAGTATACCTGCATGTGCACATTGATAAACATACATGCACAGGCATAATACTGTAAGTATCACTGAGGACATGCAAAAATGAGATGGCCAAACATCCACATCTGTCATGGCATTACAAAGGAAAAACTGCCTGTGGTACAGTACTAGTTTATACCTGATGCACAACAAGCATCAACCGTTTGTGATGGTGACAATAAATGTAAAATAAAAGTGTAATAGTATACAATGAAATTATAGATTGTAGCCTACATAAAATCTGCATTACAATTTAGAATCTTTCTAATTTTTGAATTCTAATTGTATTCTAAACAGCAGAATGGCCATTTATTTGGACAGGCTGTTGCCTAGTAGCCAAGGAAAGCAGCAATTCACGGCTGCCTCAGCAAACAGGGTGATTAAAATGATTTGCAGTCGCATTCTAGGTTGAAATTACAGTGGAAATATTTGTACGAAAGCCATCCATTGCCATGCATTACCCCAGACATGTTTGCAAGACTGCAGAGGATGAGAGGTGCAGGGGGCGGGCAAACGAGGGCAGAGGGGAGCCAAAGAAAAGACTGGACGTGATGAAAAGGTCGATCAGGGACGCTGTTTTCTCTTGTTTGTGGAGGGCATGCCGTGCCTACAGTACATCCCTTACTCAAGGTTCCCGTTCACGCCAAACGGCTTTCCTCACAGAGGGAAACCAGAGTCGGCTTTCCTCACAGAGGGAAACCAGAGTCACCACTTGGTTCAAAAAGAAAGAGAGAGGAATTTTATTTATTTATCAGGTTTATATATTTATTTTTTTATTTATTGAGGGGGAGATAATGGACTCAGTTGTACAAGACAGAGAAATGGGTAACCAAAGCCTTGGAGATGAGGCAGATAAAGGGAAGAGTCCTGAGTAGGATTGGGGGCTATCTATGGGGGGGTTCTTACGGTGAATGACCGAGATAAGTGGCCTCTGATCAGGTTTCTGTCAGGAGAGAAAAGGGGAGAGAGAGAGAGGGCTTGCCTGGTATCGGCCGTTCGGTGATGCCCGCTCCCCCCTCCTTACACGGGTGTTTAGTCAGAGCAGCAGCAGCAGTAACCGTCCTCATTAGCACTGCCCCATAAATTCAGCCGGCAGATGTAAGGAGCCCCTCCCCAACAAATGCAGCGTGCATAACCACACTCTATAAAAGTTCGTCTGAAGCTCCAGCATCTTTTCACACTTCACTGACTTCTGTTTCCACAGGCTGCGGTAGAGACCAGACGGAACTTGCTTCCAGAGGGTTCTTAACCAGGGGTTCCTTATTTTACTTCCATTTTCAATATGTTTAAATCTGTTAAACGGTCTTTCTGAAGGACACCATCCAGACAGCCCTACACTATACTAGTTTGTTCAAAGCTATTTAAAGCCAACACAGAACTAGCTGTTCTAACCTTCATTCACTGACCCTGTCAATGACGAACAAACGGAGGCTTGAAAACAATGTGCAAATGTCCCGCAGACTCAGCCAAAGCTGATGCACCTGAATACACAACAGGATAGCTAGCAAAGACAGGAATACAGAGGCATAACCTCAAAGTCTCCATGAGACATTTTATATCATTTACGTAACATTGCCTTATTTTCCAAAAAGATAACCAATACTTATTTGACTGTTCAGCCATTTTTTCAACCAGACTGGTAACGTTATACAGCTATTTGTTTATTACGAAATGCTTCATTTCCTTGACCACTCCATTAACCCCTACTTCTAAAAACACGAATGTACAGGTAGTTCTCGACTTTATGAGCTAATTCGTTCCAAATTACCACTCGTTAATCGAGAACTCTTAAAGCAGGAGGTATTTTCCCATAGAAATGTTATAAAAACGATGACTTTGGTTCAAGCCAAAAAAAATAAAAAAATGTTCACTATTTTTTGCCAAATAAACAAATGAAACACAAACTTTTTATTAGAATGAAAAATATATGCACATTTAAAACAAAAAAATTAAAAAACAGGCCTCGGAAGGCCTCATTTTGGTGCCTGTGATGTTCTGCAGACGGGGAGGTTTTTTTCATGTGTCCCATTCTGAGCTGGTGCTGTGGCTCACAAATAGCATTTAAAATGAGCCTGGTGTATTAATGGGATCAGGACGTGAAATGCAGGCGTACAAACCAGGCGGCATCGAAAAATATGCCATAAAGTGTAATGCTGCGCCTGCGCAGACGTGCCAGGTACCAGTCGGGCATGCGCAGTCACATATTTCACAAAGCAAAGTACAGCAAATCTGAAAACTCTGTCGGGCTACGGACGGCGTTTTTGGGCAGCACATATTGGATTACGCAATTTTTAATTTATTTTTTTTTTTCTCATAAAGATATAAACTCGTAAACCGGGAACGCAGAAAGAGGGAAATACCTGTATGTACAGCAAGTACCAAAATGACAAGGGCCCGTCTTTTACACTAAGCAACGTGCTTCATGTGCTTATAATTTGACTACGACATTACGCTACATTTTCTTAGTCTTTGAATCCAAAAGACAGAGTACTGGAAAAATCTGGGCATGACATTAATTTAGCATAAGCTTTTTTCCAAAGCAACATGCAATTGAGAATGCAGGGTCAACCAGTTCCTAGAGCATTTGGGGTTAAAGGCCTTATTCAGTGAAATAACTCTGGTGATCCCAGGACTTGAACCAACAACCTTCCAATCACGGGCCCCCAGGCCTAACCTGTTGAGCCACAGTCAGCTCAGCTAGACTAACCGGGAGGTGACTCAGATCCTGTTCAGGGTACCTACACTGCTGCCTATCATCTGGTCTCCGCTGCCAAGCTTCCACATCCAAAAAACTGCCACGACTGGGAAAGGCGACCATCAGAGCCGCCCCAGTGCATTCGGATAGAGGAGCTATGTTTGGCAGTTACTATATGCTGGCTTATTGCAAAACCTTCTGTTATATAAAACTGCCAGTATGTCCCAAACAAGGTTAATGTCTGATTATGGAAATACAAAAATAATCTATGAAACAAAGCCAAGCTCTATATGGTAGATGAATCGTGTTTTCAAACATGGGCAGCACCGGGGGTCTCGGGGGCTACTTTTGTAGCATTACATTTACACTTTTACAATCACCATCATTGTGTTACGATGCGTGACAAATTCGGGGCTAAGTCACGGATATCCTCTCAAGCTAGAACCGCCCCCGCTATCAGGCACAAGGGCTAAATTCTAGTGCAAAAAGGTCACGTCTGAATGACATATTATTCCAATGTGACACCGTTGCAATGGAGCTGAATGACAAACTTGCTGAAGACGGTAATACTGAACATAATATTGAATATACTCTGCCAGAGGAATTTTTTCTTCCTAGTCACAGATTTTGCAGAAGTATTTTAACTGCCTGTTACAGTTTCCAGCTTGTCTTTAGGATGAGAGTGATGCGAGGAAGCAAGCTTGGATTCCATAAAACACTCCCCATAAAAACGTCTTAAAATCAATGCCGTGCACCTGGCTAAATATTATCTCAGTGATGCTTTGGGGACATCAGAGAAAGTACGTTCAAAAAACAAGTCGTGCACGTTGGAAGTTAAGAGATTCTTTTTAAAGCCTTTTGTCAGGCAACCATGACTAGCACTTGGGTCGACAAACTGAGCCATTGCAACACTTATTTTAATTGTTTTCAAACATGCTAAAATTTGCAGAATGTGTACTGCAGCTGCCTGCAGAGGATGAATGAGACTCTTAGAATGGTGTGAAGGTGTGTGAACTTCCGCATACAGTGCTGTGCGCTTGCAGAAATGGTGACAGAGCTGCCATATGAAGGTCTGCAAGGAGCTGTACTTGACCTACCTGCTCTTGGTTAGCAGGATTTACGTCGTGGACAGACTCAGCCTTCCAGCTCGCTTCCGTTCCCATTCCACTCCCAGTTACCAACCGGGGAGGGCGTGATGGTAAAGATGGCAAAGACAGCAGGGGTCTAGAGATTACCGGTTATATGAGAGGCATTCGCCCCCGTGATCCTGTCAAAATGTCAGGCAAACAGGTCAAACAGAAGATCCAGAGTCCCTGCTTTAGAGCTATTAGTATTATGACCTGAAGCATGAAAAGTGGAGAAGGAAACTTAATATTCTGCAATATTAAATCATTCAGGGTGAAACTTGACTTTTAAAAACAGAACCAAAATAAAGTTTTTTGCCAAGTATATTATAAAGTATTTGGAATTTGCATTGCGTCCTGCACAAGGTAAAATTAAGGACATTGCACCAAGGGTGGCCAGTCTTATCCAGAAAGGGGTGTTGTGTATTCAGCTTAGATTACTAATTACTAATTAGGGAACTAATTGGCTGAAGATTCCTCACACCTGGGTTTGAGCAGCCAAACTAAAGATTATCCCCAAAGCCTGCTTACACACTTGGCCTTTGCAGTACTGCAGATAAGCATACAACTGCAACAAAGTTAACAAGTAAATGAGAGCTAAAATATAGATGCACCTGTGCACAAGTAATCATGAATGGGGCCCAAGTGTGAGTGGGGGTTAGGGGAGGGCCGGGGGATGTGTTTATTACAGAGCCCCCTGCCCACACAGAAGACAGCTGAGGGAGAAGCTCTTCAAGTGGTGCTTGTTCTGTTACTTATGGATCTGTGGAATTTTCTAGAAGAGTGTCCTTGGATGAGTGCACTGGTTAGAAAGGGTCAGCGACATGCTTCCTTACTATGGAGTTTTGCAGGTTCTCAAAGGAAGAGAGAAAGTAGTGCAAAGCAGACAGTCATGGAGAACATGACGATGTTTCCACTGATGACACTGGAATTATACCAGGATCAGTTTGGGGGGGTGCTTTTAAATTTGGCACAGGTCACACCCATGCTGTTGTGTTGTCTTCGTCGTGGTTTTGATGCCAGTGAACATGGTGTACAGAAGTTTATAGGAGTCAACCACCTCCCTGCCTACCTCATTGGTTTCTAAGGGGAGTGTCTACTGCGGAAATAATGATTTTTCCAACTTTTTGGATGGCATTGAGCTCAAAGCTTTCATTGGCGTATAAGTGTGACTTGATGCTTGCCTCTGCAATGTCGCAAGAATTTTCAGACTCACTAAGAGTTAGCTATGCTGAAAAGAGGCACCTGCAGTTTGGGGAAAAATTCGATGTGGAAATGAGACCAATTAATCGGACCTTTGTGTGTAGGCTTGAAGAGGTCAGAGGTTGTAGGACATAGTAAACAACCACATTAACTGTCAACTAAACTTAAATTGCCCATTGTCTTTAAAATCTTGAGAGTTAAGGAGAGAATCCATCACAGATTTACAAGGTAGAATGGAATCAAAAATTCTAATGTTTTCATAGTAACAGATTTAAAGCGTTTACAATTTGAGGTAATTGAGACAGGTTATTTTGTTAATTTCCTTTAAATGATTCAGAGCAGGGAGGGACAATGCACTCTGGTCAGTCTGGTGGAATGTCCTGCACAATGTTTTATCGTTACTGGGGAGTTCAGGTCAGGTGCAGCTGCTTTCCTGCAGATCTCTTATCCCATGCAGACATCATGTTCTTCATCGGCTGACTGGTAGTCCATCCCAAACATTCAGTAGATTAACACAAATGAAAATAATCTGAAGTTCGTCACATAAAAAAAACCTTGGCTGGTGCATTTAAGCATGCTGCTGCATCCACTCCTCCACCCAAACACTCATTTTCCACAACTGCTTATCCAGGAAGCTCCGAGTCCCTGATCGGGATACCAGCCCATCAGGTCCTGCAGACATAATGGTAGCATAAGTTCATAAGTAAGTAAGTAACATTTCTCTGGATTTAGCAAGTTTTTCAAATGTAATTAATGTTCTTCTTTGGAGTACATGAGGACTAACTGAGTCTTGAAAATTTCACAAAAATTCTCCATCAGCACAGATCTTAGGCTGTGGTGCGAGCATGCCCGCCGGCGCCCCCTGTCTGTGGGAAAGTGAAATTGGTTGGCAAGAAGTTGGTGCCCTAGGCGGCCGCCTGTCGCCTATAGGATTGACCGGCCTTGTTCTCCATTGGATTATGTGAGGCCTGAGTGTGTTTTCATTCCCGTTACTGTAACATATGATGAGGAAGTCTGACTTTCGTCATTGATGGTCTCATCCCAAACACAACAAAGAACGGGCTGAGTGAGTTTCGGACATTTTGACTTCATTTGCCTTATAACGGGCATCTTAATCCAAATGAAAGATAGAGAAGCTTCATTTGAGTTCAAAATGCATAAAGACATGCAGATATGGAGATAAACAGAGGCACATACAGTATGGATACCCTGGGCCACGCAGTCTGCCTCTGCATCCCGTGTGGACACTGCAAATGAGGCTGTGTTATGTTCCTAATCTGCGGGCTAGGGGAATGCTGGCAATTTCCTCCTTCTAAAGTTTATTTCTTCGGCAGGAAGGCAGCGTGCTTTGCACACAACTAGAGCTGGAAGGAATGGAGTTTGTCAAGCTTTTCCGTAGCACGGAGCATTAGCATTTATTTATTTTTTGATTACCCAAAATTCCAGAGAAACTCCACCTCCTGTTGCCTCTTGTAGTCAGTCTATCAGCGGGCAGGTGCCAGCAGAAAGCTGCTTAGTCTGAAATCACCAGCTCTTTCTGCGACGCTTTCTGTGACCTTGTAAAGGCCTTCGCTTTTACTGCACTGGGCTCCTTTATCACAAAAGAAACATCTGAATGGGAACCAATGGTGCAGCTTCTAAAATATTTTAATAACAATGAAACCTCAGATCATTTTAACCACCATCACAATAGTTATTGCTAGTCAAAATAATATAATAAAAAAAAACAATGAACACCCTTAAAAGCCTCAAAACCATAAATGCAGTCAGTCTCAAGAGCTTCCAGGTGGTTCTTTAAACAGTAAATCCCCGAACACGCTCATACAAATACACCTACAGTGGGGCAAACAAGTATTTAGTCAGCCAACAATTGTGCAAGTTCTCCCACTTAAATTAAATTACAGAGGCCTGTCATTTTCATCATGGGTATACCTTCATAGTGGAGTTTGGAGTGTGACTGTTTGAGGTTGTGGACAGGTGTCTTTTATACTGATAACGAGTTCAAACAGGTGCCATTAAATCAGGTAACGAGTGGAGGACAGAGGAGCCTCTTACAGAAGTTGTTACAGGTCTGTGAGAGACAGAAATCTTGCTTGTTTGTGGGTGACCAAATACGTATTTTCCACCATAATTTGCAAATAAATTCTTTAAAAATCAGACAGTGTGATTTTCTGGATTTTTTTTTCTCATTTTGTCTCTCATAGTTGAGGTATACCTATGATGAAAATTACAGGCCTCTCTCATCTTTTTAAGTGGGAGAACTTGCATAATTGGTGGCTGACTAAATACTTTTTTGCCCCACTGTATGTGGAATAGAATGTATACGCGGGTCCTCCAAACACACAATTGAAATAGAAATACACAGAAATACGTATCTTCCAGCTCCCAGTTGTAATTATTTACATGCCTTTTCTGTTCTATTCAATGCTTACATTCTGAAAATGAATGCAGTGCTAATTTAATAATGACATAGTTCTACGTTAAAAATGTACTTGGCAAATTCAGCATTAAGATTGAGTTTACTGAGGTTCTGCGTCGGCCAAAGGTTTAGCTAATCGGTGGGATGTTGTATAAGTTAGCGGGTTAGGGTTCCGTGCCTGTGATGAGAAGGTGACGGGTTCCCACCGCGGAGGGGGCAGGACGATGGGCCCTTGGGCAGGAGCCCTAACCCCCCCAGCCCCCTAGGGAATGGCTGACTCTGCTTTCTCAATTGTATGTTACTTTGGATAAAAGCATCTGCTAAATAGATACAAATCTAATCGAAAATCTCAATTAAGTGAACTTGAGATGTAACTGGAAATATTGTAGCAGTGAAGTGGGACTATGAGGCTGCGACTCGCTAAGGGATCTGGGCTGGATCCTCCGCAGAGGTCTTTGCACTGCACAGCACTGGCTATCTGCCACGATCCCCCCAGGCTCCATGTGACGCATCTCTGCCCTCGGCCCTTCAAACACACCTAGCGAGCAGGAGCTTAAGCTCATTCGGCCTCCCGTTTCCTTAAGCCAACTGCATTGTGCGCAATAAAGCATCCAGCACCTAAGCAGAGGGGTCAAATGCAGTTCTCCAGCTCCCTGCGAAACTGGAATCGGCACAAAAAGAAAAGAAGGAAAAAAAACAGAGGAAATGATCATTTAACACTAACATGTGGCGTGAAAGAGAGAAACATCTGCTTCACTGTGATATTTAGTTGTTTTTCGGGCTTGGTCCACCCCACCAATCAGCCTCTGTATGATTGAAATATTTAGGCATGAAGGTCTGGGAAAGGCAGACGGAAGAGCGCGGCAGAAAGAAGACAGCGGCGGGATGTTGACGGAGGACGCGGGCCTAGCGCGGCGCCAGCCAGTCCGTGCCGGACACAGCCACAGCCACCCTGAGATTCTTCCAGCCCGGTGCCTCCAGCTACAGTTCCAAAGTATAAGGCAGGGACCTGACATTTTTGTGTGCCATCCTAACCTTCTCACAACAGGAAAACACCATAAACAGTCATAAACAACAACAGCAACAACACACACTCTCTGGGATAAAAGGAGATCCGGTTTATAATATAGGGGGCGGTGAGTGGCTCAGTGCACTAAGCCTCTGTGACTGGGATTGGAAACTTGCCAGTTCAGACCCCAGCCTGGGCAGGATAATCACATATCTCTGGGCCCTTGAGCAAGGCCCTTAACTGCCCCCAGCTCCAGGGGTGCCACACATTGGCTTGACCCTGTTCTGTGACCCCCAAGCTATAGAGAGCAAGATGGGGCAGGCGAGGAGAAGAATTCCAGTGTACTTGTGCAACTGGCAAACAAAGGATTTTTCATTTAAAGGTAATGTGACTCTTTTAGGATTTTACAGAAGAGAATAGAATCAATCACTTGTAACCAACTGCAAACCACAGCCCAAAAAAACCTCACTGCAGCAGTTTCACATGCCATTTGGCATCAATACCGCACCATTATCTTGTTTTTTCTTGGTGAAATCCCTGGAACTAGCGTGGAGAGTGAAGATTATTGAGCATTATTCTCTGTTCCATTTGATTGCCTTGTTGTTTTAAATCCTAATGAAAATAATAGCTGCAAATTGTTTTAGCTGGATGACCTTATCAGAGCTCTCATATTTTTATATAATTATCCCTGGATTACCATGAGATGTTTGCTTAGAAGCCGAAATTCAGCCGAATCTG